CGAACAAGATAAATAAAATTTATTGGCGTCCGCGCTGAAGCGCGGCGCCCCTTTATGGAATGAAATCAGATTTTGTGAAAGGGCGACAGCAACTTCTCGAGCCTTTAAGTCGGTCATAATAAAAGCCGATCATTCCGAACGGTATGAAGGTGCTTGATTATTAATTAATCCGTGGTACAATGAATAGCGAACTTGCAAAAGTTTTCAAATGAAATAACCTTTTCCGTCAATAAATCGCGCTCTTCGGTTTTTTTTATTTACACAGTGGGTTATTATTATGGAATGTTATTGTTGTACATTTATCCGAAAGCTGTAAATAGAATGATGAGTTGATGACCTAAATATTCCGAAAATCTATTTATAGAGGGATGTGCTCCTATCGGTAATTCCCGGTCTCTCCCGGTCTATTTTGACCGGGATTTACTAGTGACCGTTTATTGTCCGGTCTCTCCCGGTTTTGGAGTAGATGTTTGATATAGTTACAGAACAAAACAAATATTTTACAGATAAATAAGCTTTTTTCCAAAATGAATGTTTGTCAGTTAATTTGGTTACAATAATTCATGAACACAGATCAACTCTCAAATTTATTGATTTTTATTATACATAAACATATAATTCGAAAAAACAAAAACAACAAGAACAACAACAATACATGTTTCATTTTATCTATATGAGATAAAAACAATAAATATGTACAATAATTGAGAAAAGGGTACATTTTTATGATAATAATGCGACACTATCAACTTTGAAACATTTTATTTAATTTGTTAATCGTGGTTAGTAAAGATGCCGAGGAATTATTCAAAGTTACAAATTAGATTTTATGAAGTATTCAATTGGTTGATAATTAAAAAATGATGAAGAAAAAAAACAAATGTACATGGTTTAAGAATATAAGAATAAACAATATTATATATTGAAAGATTAACCATTATTTATTGACTTTTTCCAGTTAATTTTTGACTTATAATCGTCGGTCAATATGACAATTGAATTCTTAAAATTTATTTTACAATTTAAATTAAAAAAAGTAAGTAAACATAAAAAAGCGCATAAAACACAAAAAAGAAAAGAAAACAATATTCATAAAATCTGTAATTTTTTATCAAAATTAATATATATTACATTTATTGTATAATAAACAATTATGCTTAACATGATCAACATGGTAATATAACCAGTGTCATATTTTTACTAAGTGTGAATAGATACTTTAAGAGGGGGTCTTCGCTAATAGCGATAACATAATAAGGGACAATTACACAAGTGTGGTGTTGATCATGCGTTACACATATGGATTGTAAATGATTGTTTACATGTATATCCGTTGCTCGCCCATATGGTCTCTTTCCAGTGGCGAGGGTAAACAAACGCAAACACACAAAATCCGTTGCTATTAATAACCACGGTCATAAAGAAATAACAAGTAATATTCTAATCTCTAGCATGCCAATCAAAGTTCATAATGAACAATGTCTTTCGTCCGCTCATTCATAAGTGATATACAATTCTGGTAAAAACCATTGAAAAGATTATAAGAATATCTTGTCATCATATGTCTACTAGTTCATCTTCACTTGCTGCATTTCTTGCTTGGACGCCCTTTGATGCTTTGCATCAATGCTTTTCTTGTTTATTAATGTTAAGACTTAGAAATTGAACAGTGAATAAAGTGACAAAACTCTTTTGGTCGCATTTCATTTTGTGTCGTTTATGAAATATTGTAATTTTGGTAACGTACAAATTTGTTACATTGCAACATGTCTTTATTACAACTTATTTTTAATTTGAAGTATCTAATACGTAGTGCAATGTTTGAATCGATGGATTAAGGCCTTACTTAATCAGCAAATTAGCTGTATTGTTTTTAAATGTTTGTCTAAAAAGTAAAAATACGTGACTACATTTATGTCAATGTAATTGCTGTAACAACCATTACAATTTACCTTTAAAACGTTTCAATTATATCCGTTTCATTATTTACATAGGCTTTTAATTTATGTTTTATTTGTAACTCTCTAAAATGTAAATATTTTATCAGTGTAATCCAAATATTCCCCATGCATATATTATAACAAAAGTTTTGTATCATTTTTTCAACTGGGTGGGGTAATATTTTATTGTTTTACACGAATTTATTTTCACAAATACCATGAAACAGGCTGTCATGATTCAGCTACACATTTGTAACAAATAAAGGCAAGAAACTCGCCACATTTTAAGACATCAATATTTAATCAATTTTACCCCGGGACAGGTACTCGTAAACTATCTGCCGCAAGTCAAGTTTCCGATTGATTTTTTTTCCGGGTTTTAATGTAAGTTACATTGATACATGTTGATAACATAAAAATAAAAAAAAAACAACTTGTGCTGTAACTTGTTTGACGTCAGGCTACAGATACTCATAACTTTAGTGGCCTAATACGCCCGGTTAAGCGATATTCAACATTTCGCATTAGACATGTCGGAATCAATGCTCCCGAAGGGACAGAAGAGATAACGTTTTTTACTTAGCAGAAATTGAAAGTGTCTTACCTTTCTGGATATTTTGTTGTTATGTTACCAAGACGGGTAAAATACTTAGGTGAAAATATCCAGATTCTATTAGATCGGTCAAGAGAAAAACCACCAGACTGATAGATGCTCTCTATTACTTTTGTAAAGTTTACCTATGATAAAAGCAAACTTATATGTTCTGTGTTTAGAACGCTTATGATAAAAAATAACTTTTCTTTGTAACCAGTATAGAAAATGGCAAGTCTGTCCAGAATTTTGACTACTTGATATTTTCATTTTCTTGATATCAAATTTTTATTCAAATTCTATTTCTCTCTATTTTGCACCATTTAAAACCCCAAAAGCATGATTTGTGTGACTTGTGCAGACACTTATCAGACAAAGCCCCATACCATGAGAGTTCACCCTTAGGTTTTTATAGCATCGCTAGATCTGTTTGCTGATACCATTACCTTGCCAAAATTCAACCTTGACTATGACAGATCTATTCCACCTCTATCATTCAATAATTTTGCACTTTCTGGAACAAATCTCTACGCATGTCGGTAAGACAATTTATTTGCATTCTTAAAACGTGTAAAAGAGAGGAAAGCAGAATCCATTTAGAAAGCCCAACAATGCAAAATTGAAAATGTTGCAGGCTCGGTATTATTGAGCCATTACCCAGACAGTACTAAAGTGCAAGTTACCGTCCATATCCCTAGCAACGGTTTAAGCAGAATTCAATAATAAATATGACCAGACAAAAACGTTTTATTTCGAAACATCTGCAGATGTGTTTATATGGCGGTTAACATTGAATTTACAATGTTCGTGCCATTCCATGAAAAGCGGTATATTGTCCAAAGACTTTACATAATCAAGCAAGAAATTTAAATTGCAAAATGGCCACATGCAATTTCAATTACAAAATTGACTTTAAATGAAGAACAGTACAAACAATACAACAGCACAATAAAAATAAACAAGAATGTCGAACGACACATATACCCCCCTTTCTAGCCATTGACTCACATAATTGGTAATTTTATTACACAAACTTGCCAAAAATGGGTACATGGAAGTGTTCAATTATGGAAAAATCAACGAAAGCCATTTTGACATTAAAGGCCCCTGTGACCTTGACCTTTAACCTAGTGACCCCAAAATCAATAGGGGTCATCTACTAGTTATGACCAATCACTATGTGAAATATGAAGACTTTGTGATACACACTTTTCAAGATAATCAGCGGAAACCATTTTGACATTTAAGGCCCCTGTGACCTTGACCTTTGACCTATTGACCCCAAAATCAATAGGGGTCATCTACTAGTGATGAACAATCACTATGTGAAATATGAAGACTTTGTGAAACATACTTTTCAAGATAATCAGCGGAAACCATTTTGACATTTAAAGCCTATGTGACCTTGACCTTTGACCTAGTGACCCCAAAATCAATAGGGGTCATCTACTTGTGATGACCAATCACTATGTGAAATATGAAGACTTTACGATACATACTTTTCAAGATAATCAGCGGAAACCATTTTGACATTTAAGACCCCTGTGACCTTGACCTTTGAGCTAGTGACCCCAAAATCAAAAGGTGTCATCTACTAGTGATGACCAATCACTATGTGAAATATGAAGACTTTGTGATACATACTTTTCAAGATAATCAGCGGAAATTATTGTGATATTTAAGGTCCCTGTGACCTGGACCTTTGACCTAGTGACCCCAAAATCAATAGGGGTCATCTGCTTGTTATGAACAATCACTATGTGAAATATGAAGACTTTGTGATAAATACTTTTCAAGATAATCAGCGGAAACCATTTTGACATTTTAAGGACCCTGTGACCTTGACCTTTGACCTAGTGACCCCAAAATCAATAGGGGTCATCTACTAGTGAAGACCAATCACTATGTTAAATATGAAGACTTTGTGATACATACTTTTCAAGATAATCAGCGGAAACCATTTTGACATTTAAGGTCCCTGTGACCTTGACCTTTGACCTAGTGACCCCAAAATCAATAGGGGTCATCTACTAGTTAAGACCAATCACTGTGTGAAATTTGAAGACTTTGTGATACATACTTTTCAAGATAATCAGCGGAAACCATTTTGACATTTAAGGTCCCTGTGACCTTGACCTTTGACCTAGTGACCCCAAAATCAATAGAAGTCATCTACTAGTTATGACCAATCACGATGTGAAATATGAAGACTTTGTGATAAATACTTTTCAAGATAATCAGCGGAAACCATGTCGTCTACCGACGGACAGACCGACAGACCGACAGACAGACAGACCGACAGACAGACAGACAGACAGACAGACAGACAGACAGACCGACATTAGCAAAACAATATACCCCCTCTTCTTCGAAGGGGGGCATAAAAAAGCAAAATAATATAAGAAAACTTACACAAGCACACTGTGACAAATAAAATAAGATAACCAACATATCGAATGACTTACCTCAGTTGGAACTAAGTCTTGAAGTTCGTTCACTGAAAGACGGCCACTGGTCCCTTCTCCAAATGGTATTAAAATCTTTACAAATTGAAAAAATGAAAATCAGCTAATGACAATGTAATCCTATATTTGTTAAAAACTAGGAAAATATTTATATCATATTATCAAATTCAAAAGCGTGTCTAGTCTATCCTTTATATGTTTATTAATGGAAACGTTGAAAATAATGATTTTATTCATATTTAAAAAAACACTTAATATTTGTTTACGGTGTAAAAATTCTGAAAACAATTTTAATCATTATTTTTCATGCGATTGAAATATCGACACAAAGTGATAAAGGTCTTCTTACTTTTGCAATATCAACTTCTAGATTAACTATATCCATTGCGTAAACAGCTGCTATGCTTTCATTAGCACCTAAAGCTAGAAAAATTTCCTTTAGGTAAGTCTCGTAACCATTAAGATATATTTCAGAATCTTGACTTGTCAGAAACGCGTCCATTTCCGGCTGTTCGATCTAAAGTTTAAATATATAGATTTGTTAAATCTTAAATATATCTATAAATGAAATATCGAACAAAGTATGAAAAATAGAATGTTGAAAGAAAGCACCCCCCCACAAAGTCCCGAAAAATATGAAAAAGTTGCATGCTCGGTTTGATTAAGCCTTTTCATGTTTGGCCATGGTAAATGTAAAACAATGTAATTGAAATGGCGAAAAATTCAAAACCTACCGGCGAGAAATGCTCTCTAAAATGGAATGCTATTTCTTAAGATATGATAAACAAGATCAACAAGGAAAGGCGGTGTTCAACGAACGCAACCGCATATGACCCAGCAACAAGAACCAGCGGCAAGGAGCCCAGGCGGACCCCAAATAAAAACAGGACAGGGCACAAGACAGCACGGACACAAGTAGAAATAAGAATTTATCTTCTGTATCTGATTTTAGTGTCATTTAAGTGATATATATGCTAAATTTTGTTCAATTCAATTGTAGGGAGTAATTTCATTTTATTTTTTAAAGGAAATACAATATAATAATATCTAAGGCTTCAAACTTTATTCCGGATAAAATACCTATCACTATACAAAATAAAATATTCCATAAGACATCAAACACCCCCCTTCTGAAATGAATTTATTTGTATTATAACTTACTTGGAGTTCGAATCGATATGTTTTCTGTTTTGTATCCCTTATAGAAAGATGAACCATTGGTGTAGAAGGTGTCATGTGGAATGATTTAACAAGAAGATCCTCTAATGAATAAGAACTTGAATCCCATCTACCGCCTGGAGCATCCCCCAACATTGGTAATCCACCCATACTTTCCATATATTCGTGTAGAGGAGCATTCCCAAGCTTCTCTATTTTATCTTAAAACCGATTATACAATGTAACTGATTAATTATGAGACAGGATTTCGGATTTATAACGTAAGTACGTATTTAACATATTTAATAGCATTCTGTATAAATAAAAAACAATATTTTCCGATAACAATGAAGCTATATAAGATTCAATTGATTCAAACAAACTGATCCTGCAAATATTTGTAAAGTTTGTTTCGACTTATCCCTTCTTTATTTTTCCTGGAGCGTTTTTATACTCTAGGTTCATTTACAAGTGTTTTTTTTTTAATTTTGATTAAGTACAGCACAGCATTTGAGATTCTTAATTTTCTACATTACATGTTATAAGACATCTGCAGACATCCACCTTTAAATAGAATTTGACACCTGTTTCTGATATTTTGGTATCAACAATCATTGCTTTCTATTTAACCTTTATTTAAAATATGTGTAGTTCATTATAAAACTTAAAATAATACATACCTGTATCCATGCATGACTTGTAGAATTTCTTTGCTTTAACAACAGAATCTATATCACCAGGACTTATTTCTTTTTCCAACACAGCTTCAAACAATAGAATAATTCGTTAAAGTTTTGTGTCAAATCGTACTATATTAAACAAAATGTTATATTCTGAAAAAGGTGATATAAATTACCATAAAACTGGTTCACATACAAATGATAAAAACAATTGTATTGTAAAAATCTTTTTTTTAAGCTTAAAGGGACTCCACTGAGGTTTTTTTGACATGATTGGACTGAAAATATTTTTCCTGATAAATGTACCATTTGAAGTAGGTTCAGACCACTAATCTTTGTGCAAAATTTCAGATCATTCTTGCACTTCGTTTTTTCATAATAAATCAATTTGTGAAAAATGACCAAAAATGAAAAGCGTTTAAACGCTTTTCACTCAAATCGGGTTAAGAAGAGCATAAAAATACGATTTTTAATTTATTTCAAAGTATATTTATTAAGTTTCTTTGCATATTTTTATATTAAAAGTGCCCGAGCTCATTTATGTATGATTTTAGGCTTTTGAAACTCAATGGAGTCCCTTTAAAATCATGTTTAAAACCATTGTTTTATAATACTTTTAATATCTTGAAATTTATTATTATTGTTACGTCCACCTCTATTAGATGACATCAGTTCCTTATTGTTACCCCAAACGCTATGTCATGACATCAGTTCCCCGTTGTTACGCTCACCGCTATATTATGATATCAGCTCCCTATTGTTATACCGACCTCTATGTCTTGACATCAGTTCCTCATTGTTACACCAATCGCTATGTCATGACATCAGTTCCCCATTGCTACGACCGTCGATTTGTCATGACCTCAGTTCCATATTGTTATGTCAACAGCTATGTCCTATGTCATAACATCAGTTCCCCCATTGTAACGCCCACTGCTGTGTTTTGTTTGTTTGTTTGTTTCATTTACGCCTTTTCCCAACAGTATTTCAGTCATATAGGCGGGTAGTTTCCTAACCATTGTTCCTGGAGAGTTACACCAGTACTAGACTACCTTCCTCCGTGCATAACTACACATCAGTACCCGATTGTCACGCCCACCGCTATGTGATAACATCAGTTCCCCATTGTCATGCCCACCGCTATGTCATGACACCATTTCCTTACATTTCTTCATTATGATTTTTTTCATGACCTTATAAACTTGTACTTTGATAATAACTTGCATTTGATTATCGTTGTTACGTCCACTGCTATGTCTTAACATTATTTCCTTACATTTCTTTATCATGATTATTTCATGGCCTAATTAACTTGTAATTTATAATTGTTCCGTTTATAGTCATAACATTAGTAATTTGCTTCTGATCATCGTAATTACTTACACAACTTAATCATGACTCAGGTACATTTTAACTAGAATACTTTCACTTTACAATATGCAGTAGGTAATTTTCGTTTGGATTTTGATTACTTACATTTAATAATCAATAGGTTAGATTCGCTCTTTTCTCTGTATGTACTGTAGTATGACGAACCCTCGGGGATCGAATTCATTTTAGACCATTTGCCACATGCAAAGTCATAAAAGCTGTCACATGGATTTACATCAGTGTCCATTGCTTCAAGAACTCGATCGGCTATAAAATGACGACACACATATTACAGGCATACTGCTGTAATCGATATTATATATCGTTCAGTAGGTATAAAGCTAATATTCTGTATATTAGTTATGAAGATTGGACGATTTTTAAAAATGAGTCTTATTACCAAAACATAGTAACTTTGTCATTTAAATTATACATAATAATGTTTATTAAAACAATAGTTTATAGCATTTTACAAACATTTTGTATTTAGTTTAAATTTATTCAAAGTTCTTTTGATTTGAGAAAATCTTTTTAAATTGAGTTAAGATAAAAATTCGTGATATTAAAACAACAGCAATATATATTGAACCTTCCATTAATTTGGAACATACGTTCGAATAGATATGTACTATCATAATTTTATAAACATTTGGACTTTTCTATAATTTGCAAACATTACGGCATAGAACTTGAATATAAACTATTGAGATATCATACCTGCTGAATCGCAACCTTTTGTTGAACACAAGCCATCTGTGAATTTCGAAAAAGAAAGAAGTTACTTGTAGAGTTATTATAATAATATTTCTTATTCTCGCAAATAATTTCAATTGGCTTTTAAGTTTTGCATTTAATTAAATTCATCTTTCACTGTATTCGACGCTTAATTTAATAAGTTTGCTATATTAAGGGCTATTGGGAATTCTGTACCTCCGTGTTGTCTCATTGTAAATCCTCAAATATTTACTTATTGCTCATCTCAATAATGCAACCCCTTTAAAGTGTACTCTGTACAAAACATTTTACGATATCTATTAACAACTTAAGCCTTCACTCTATCTATATACACTTTTAATGATGATGTAGGTAATGTCCATCTGTATTAGTAGATTACATGTTTATCATTTTGATTTGTTACATTCACCTTTGACATAACAATTTTTGCACGTTTTCATTTGAAGTGTCAGACTTTTCTTAAAGCAGTCTGTATTTATATATATAGTCCTTTCCGATAACCGTTGTTACCTCCCCTGGTACGGTTGTCGTTCTTGATCAATCCACTTCCGGTGAGCAAAAAAATTTAATGGCGGATAAGGAAAACATTGATATCGATTTTGACACAGCGACAATTCCAATTTTAAAGGATTTTTTACGTGATCGAGGATTTCCTGTTTCGGGGAATAAAAAGAAACTTATTGAGAGGTCTAAAGGTGTAATTACTTTAGGAAAGAAACCATTATCTGTGCTCAGAGAGAACGATTTACGTGAGAAAAATAGCCGCGAGTTAAGTAGGTTTAGAACACCACTTGGTGAATCTCTCCCACGCCCGGAGGCGTTATGTGATGGATGGACTGAAAACGTACATGATTTCCCAAATTTTACTAACAATGAACTTTACAACTATTTAGTGCTAAGTAAAGAACGGACTTGTGACGGCGCATCGAATAAAGCCAGTAGGCAGTTGAAAGCCAAGGTTTTTTACGAGGACAGGCATGTACATTCTGTGCAATACCATCATATAAACACTGAAATTAGTCATTGTTATATACGATCCAAGGTAATTCCTTCCTTACCAACGCCTGGAAAGAAAGACTACGATGTATGGACATGTCTGTCCAAGGTTACAGGTCGAGTTCATTCAGCTGGATGCAACTGCAATGCTGGGTTAGTATACATTAAATCAACTGTTAAATAGTTTAATTGGAAGACATAAAATCAGATATTTTAAAAAAAATTAATTTAAACTTAAAGCATCATGCTTACAGATTTTCACTCAAGCCGGTGCTAGGGGGCACTAACTTATTAAGGTACCCGTTCTGACTGAAATAATGCACGGAAGGGCACCTGAGGTCTTCCTCCACCAGTACAGCTGGAATGTCGCAATATCATGATATGAACTATGCTGTGTCGTTGTGACGTAAAACCCAAAACAAACTAAAAAACAAAATTTATACTGCACAACGGCAGGTGTCAAGTGCAATGTGGTAGCTGTAAAAAGTTGCCCCACTCGTCAACTCAGTGTTGTTATATTTTTCTGCCTTCGGGATCATTGCCAGCAGTATTAAGTGTTATGAATTGAGTACCACGCAAGTCGGTGCTAGGGGGCGTGAGGGATATTGCAGGTTTTCATTATCTCTCATGTACAGTCTCAATCAAACCGAGTCTGCAATTTTCATGTACATTGTAATTTTTTATTAATGTCTCGGCGATCCAGATTTTTAAGGTTATTTTCATAAAAAAATTGAAAATGTACTTAAAAGATAAACAATGTGAAATGAAATATCCTTCAGTAAATAATAATTCATTTCTGGTTTACTTTTATGCATTGGACAAGTGTTGCTTGTCAGCATACTCAACTATCCTGGAATCAGATCCATATTTGTCACTAAAAAAATTATATTTGAATTTAATTCTGATGTTTGAAAGTTATGATTTATGTATATTTCAGTGAGGGTGAGTCTTGCAATCATGTAGCAGCACTCCTGTACGCCCTTGAGGACATCAGCCACAAACGTTCCGAGGGACTGGATGCATGCACATCAGGTCACAACAAGTGGAAAGAACCACGGTAGAGACGCCTATCACCAAAAAAGTCACAGGATCTACTGTTCAAGAAACACAAATTTAATGATGAACGCAAGGTTGAACATATACAGTCACCAAAGCCGAAAGTAAGAACAGTAAAACCAGTGGACACCAAAACATTTGCCGACAAACTAGAGAAGGTAAATCCACATGCCTGTTGGCTTCTATCAACATATAAGACTGTTCAGTCATCAGAGCCAATTAAAATAATTTCAGTGACAAAGTGTTACCATGACCATGTTAATTTGGATTCTGACACAGTGAAAAATGAGCTCAAAGAAGAAATGAACAAGATCATAGTGTCACAAGCAGATATTGAAAGAATTGAAAGTCAAACTAAAGGACAGGCTAAAAATGAAAAGTGGCATCAAGCCAGGAAAAATCTTTTGACTTCTCCCAATTTTGGTCTTGTATGCAAAAAAAAGGACAATACTCCACCAGAGTCTATTCTGAAGACAGTGCTATCCTACAATGACTTTTCATCAAAGGCTACTCAATGGGGAAGAAAACATGAGCCTGCAGCAAGGAGGAAATACTCATTAACATTTGGTAAGGCACATGACAATTTTAAAGTCAGTGAATGTGGACTTTTGATATTTGAAGATATGCCATATCTGGGTGCAAGCCCGGATGGACTTGTAGAGTGCACCTGCTGTGGGATGGGGATTCTCGAAGTGAAGTGCCCGTTCAGATATAGATTTCAAAGCCCTATGATGGCTGCCAAGGACCCAAGCTTTTATTTAAATGAAGTGGATCAGAAATTACAATTAAAGAAAAACCATAACTATTATTTTCAAGTCCAGGGGCAATTAGCCATTTCAGGCAGAAAGTTCTGTGATTTTTTTGTTTGGACTTTACAGGGATATTCTGTTGAAAGGATATACTTTGACCCTCAGCTCTGGCAGGACATGTCACATAAACTTCAAAGTTTTTATCTGAACTGCATTATGCCGGAGCTTTATTCTGAACGAGTTAAACGTGGGAAACCTTTAAAGTGAAAAACATTTGGATGTAGGAAATGTGTATCATAAATGTATCTTGTGAGAAACAAAACAACAGGAAAATGCAAAATTGTCATAATATTGATAATCATACCATATTGTCAATTTGATCTCATTATTTTTATTTAATTTGATCTGATCCAGTCTGTGTCTGTCATTCTGTGACATGTACATGTAATTATTTATTCATTTATCCAAGTTTTGTTGTTATATTATGTGTATGCTATATGTGTAATTTGTTCTAGTCTGTTCATGTGATGTAAATATTTTTTTCTAGTCTGTTCATGTGATGTAAATAATGTTTTTTAGTCTGTTCATGTGATGTAAATAATGTGATGTATAATATACATGTAGTATTTATTTAGATATAGTTATAACATGAATAAGGTTTTTATAACATACATCATACACTGTGTGTTCATAGTTCACACTGAAGTGCCAGTATTAGTGCTGGAGTATCTGATATGTTGGGCTCCACTGAAGTTTTTTGACCTGATGGGACTGAAAATATTTTTTCCAGTTAAATGTACCATTTGGTGTAGTTTTAGACCACTAATCTTTGTGCAAAATTTCAGATCATTTGCGCATTTTCGTTTTTCAAGAATAATTATTCCAATATTGTAAAAAATGACCAGCATTTACACGTAAACGCTTTTCACTCAAATCGGGCTTATAAAAGCATAAAAGTACAATCTTCAATTAATTTCAAAGAAAATGTCTTAACTATCCTTGCATATATTTCTGTTTAAAGCGCCCCAGGTCATATATGTAAAAAATTCATAAGAAATTCAAATGTTATGTTTTTAGACTTTTAAACTTCAGTGGAGTCCCTTTAAAGCTACATGACTCCAGATGAGCAAAAATATAATAGGGTTTGTAAGCGAACAGCATGGATCCTGATCAGACTGCGCGGAATGGGTCGCAAGCCCATTATGTTGGTGTTGTCATGACGCGGCTCAAATGTAGTTTTTTTAAGCAAATAATTTTGTTCTCCTTTTTTGCAACAAATCAAACAACATGTCTGTAGACAGTCTAACTGATGTTTTATCTTCGCTTATTTTGAATATTAAGTCAATTTGATATTATTTTGTCTAAATTCATGCTCTAATCTGTGATAAAGGAAATAAGTCTAAAAATTATTTATTCAATTACTAAAGTTTTGTTATCATTTTGTCTAAATTCATGCTATAAGCTGTGATTAAGAAAATAAGTCTAAAAATTATTTATTCTATTACTAAGTTTTGTCATAAGCAGATCATGTGTTTACAATTTGTTTAATTTTTTCATGTGATGTAAATAATACACATTAATTTATTCAAATATTAATGTTTTGTGATAAGCACATGTATATCCCTCCTAAATTGATGTGATTGATGAACTAGTCTGTTTACATGTATGTGATGTGAAATATAGTCTTTGGATCATTACATACTCAACTTTCTTTGCCATATTTTCTATATTCTATGTGTACTGAAAGATTATCTTTTTATTGGTGTGTATCATACAATCCAAATATTTTGTACATCCCCACTTAATATTGAAAGCATACTTTAGGGTCGGCCTGAAAGTATGAATGTATGTTACCTCTGTATTGTCCGATCAATTACTTGAAAAGTAGCAATGATATATGTTACACTAGAAATGGGTCCAAAGGACACGGGTGCCCCCACCGCGCCACTGCTCTGTCAATCTTATGACTCTAAGTCAAATATTTTTTGAAAACTAAAAATCCTTTACTAAGTAAAGGGCAAGAACTTTACAAATACTGAATAAATTCACAGGCAAACCCCAAGGTGCATAAGTACACATGCTGACCAACATTCTTGTAAACTTTCAGGCCTACAAGTGAAATACTTTTTGAGCTATGCATGAACAAGTTGAAAATTGCAAATTCATACTACTGAAAGTCAAGGACAATAACTTTAACAAAACTGAAAAAATCCACATGCAAAGTTCCTTGTGCATAGTTTCACAGTGATGTGAATCATTATTCCTGTAATTAAGTGATGTTGATCATTATTCTTGTAAAGTTGGTTGATTCTAACTCAAGCACTCAAGAAACAAATATTAACATAATGAAACGGTTTTAACTAAGTCAAGGGAAATAACTCTACAAATACTGGATAAATCCTCAATTGAAACCCCAGGTGCAAAACCTAATATGCTGAGCAACCTTCCCGTAAGGTTAAATGACTCTATGTCAAATCCTTTTTGAGTTACATGCGACACAAGTCAAGGGCAATAACTCTAAAAATACTAAATAAATCAATACCCAGGGGCACAACTACACATGCTGATCAATATTCCTGTAAAGTTTCATGACTCTGGGTCAAATACTTTTTGAGTTACATGCGACACAAAGTTGAAAATTGCAAAATTTTACGAAGTCAAGGGCAATAACTCTAAAAATACTATATAAATCCAGAGAAAATACCCAGGTGCACAACTACACATGCTGATCAACATTCCTGTAAAGTTTCATGACTCTAGGTCAATACTTTTTGAGTTACATGCGACAAAAAATCAAAATTACAAATTTTACTAAGTCAAGGGCAATAACTCTAATAATACTATATAAATCTAGACGAAAATACCCAGGTGCACAACTACACATGCTGATCAACATTCCTGTAAACTTTTATGACTCTATTTCAAATACTTTTTAAGTTACATGCGACACAATATGAAGATTGCTAAATTTTACTAAGTCAAGGGCAATAACTCTAAAAATACTAAAAATATTCAGACGAAAATACCCAGGTGAACAGTGCACAACTACACATGCTTATCAACATTCCTGTAAAGTTTCATGACTCTAGGTCAAATACTTTTTGAGTTACGTGCGACACAAGTTGAAAATTTCAAAATTTTACTAAGTCAAGGGCAATAACTCTAAAATAAAAATATCCAAACAAAAATACCCAGGTGCACAACCACACATGCTGATCAACATTCCTGTAAAGTTTCATGAATCTAGGTCAAATCCTTTTTGAGTTACATGCGACACAAGTTGAAAATTTCAAAATTTTACTAAGTCAAGGGCAATAACTCTAAAAATGCTACACATATCCAGACGAAAATACCCAGGTGCGTGCACAACTACACATGCTGATCAACAATCCTGTAAAGTTTCATGACTCTAGGTCAAATACATTTTGAATTACGTGCGACACAAAAGAGAACGGACGGGCGGACGGAAGGACGGACATTCTTACCAGAGCTACATTATGGGGTTTTCCTTTGTTATTTCTTTTGTTCTTGTTAACCCCACAATGCAGAAAATAACCCCACAAGAGAAACGGAATGAATGACATCAAAGACATCTATTGTTATGAGAACAATAGACCAAACCCCATAATGTAGCTCTGGTTTGTACGGATGGACAGACGGACGGACAAGGGTAAATCTAAATGCCCGCCACTAAAGTGGGGGCTCAATAATAGGGGCATTGTCCGTAGTCATTGCCGATGACACCTATTGTTTTTCATGTTAGTAGGTAAAGTGTTAAAAGTCACCATGGACATCTTGTCTGGCGAATAAATAGAATAGGCTATGGCCTACAGTCCTTAGATTTGGTGTTGAGCTAGATCATGACTAGGGAACCACTTCTTTTGTTTTAACGGTCCGTAGATCGCCGAGACTTTGATCATTAATAGCATCCCTGACCAGTAACTAGACTACTCTTTGACATACAGACCTATATTTGAATTTGTCAGGCAGTAGGTCAAAACACACTGTTTTCCTTGGGCAATAGGCCTAGGATTTAGTGACAAGTGATTTTATGACAAGTAAGTCGACCATAAACTAAAAAGAGCACCTTTGCATAGATCCTAAGATTCCGTATGCAGCTTTGTTATGATGAGCAGTTGACCCCTATAGACTTTGCGGTCATAACGTCAAAGGTCATCATGGCACTGTGTATAAAATCAGTGTCCTATTAACCACTTTAGATGGAATGAGATTAAGGCATTTTACACTTAGTAAGGACATTTCCCATGACAAACAGATGCTACCTATTGAATTAAGAATCATTAGGTCCTAGTCAAGGTCATAATGACACACACTTTCATTAAGTTCTTTGCTTAAGTAGTAACTTGAAAAATAATATGCTATCATTTAAGATGTTTATAAACATAATAGTTTGGTATTAAAAGAAAGAGATACAAATGTACTTATAATGAACACTAATTTTTCTGACCTGTGTTCAACTTCTTCATAGCCTGAAACGGAACAATGTAAAGAACAAATAAAGTACCATTTAATTGTGCAAATTTTCTTCATTGGATGCTTAATACATAATAATACAATTGCTAATTGCTTGGTGTATCACACTTCACTATTTTTACAACACCGTTCATGGCAAATTGTGAAACATATTCATTTAGTTACAGTCTGTAACACTAGTTTTACTATCAGAATTGTCAAGTACATTTTATAGTATAATTATTTTCCCCCTCATTCCCCACTGTTTAATTTGATCGCATAAAATCTAAACATCTTTGCTAGCTGATTGAAATACCTGAAAGAGTATTTGTCGTGATACACATTTTAAAAATGGTATAGCAACATTTAAATAGAGGATATTGAAAGAGTGTAATTTTAATAATGAATTTATTGAACGAGTTGAACTAAATCATATTATGCAAGCCTTTGGCGAGCATAATATTATTTATCCAACGAGTTCATTAAATTTAGTATTGAATCTACATGAATATAATATTCTATTTATCACATGCATACAATAAGAACGGTAAACTGTTAAAAAGTGTATTTTTTTTAGTGACGCGCCTAAAGTGTAATGCTAACATAAGCGCGCTTTAACGCTATGTTTATATAATTATAACGCAAATGACGTCACATCAAACTGTTATTACACTAGTGTAATATCGTTTTTATTTAATGGCTTTATTACACTGCCGCGCGGCGATTTATGTGATAATATGTGATCAATAAATGGAATTCTGCATAATTACAATACAAAAGACGTTTGCATTACAAAACCGGAGCTGTTGACATAGAAAAAAGCAATGGAATATAACGATTTGACAGATGAATAATAAATTGTAACATTACCTCTTGTATTGAGTTTTGGAGATATGATAGGTTAATACCAAGCAAACTTTTGCTATAGCACCCTTTCTTCATAGACGATAGTCCTGAAAGAAGCCACCTTTTTCCATGCTTGCAAACAATCGCAATACCATTGTCATTCTAAAATTTATCTTTTATTATTACTGTAATTTCCTGATTGTACAATGATAGCATATTTCAGGCATAATGTGCCCTTAGATAATAAAACTTCGGCAATCATACATGAATGTATCTTTGGTAGCAAGATTGTAGCTTTTCGGGCACGATATATCTGATTAAACATTTATACCCCTCAGGTAAAAGGTCTTGGACCCACATTTGTGCTACTTCATAACTAGAAATTAATTAAAATAATTAATGAAATTGAATAATTTAGTACCCGCTGATGATATATTTTATTTTTTCTATGCTTGCAAACAATCGCAATATATATAATCAATATATTTGTGCCCCCCAATGTTTTCAGATCATTGTATACCTTTCGGGATTAAAAGATTTTTAAGAAGTGACATTTTACCTGACACAGCTTTGTTTCCTTTTCTACATCATAGCAAAAGTACATCTTTTTGTTTGTGACTGAACATTTATTCAGTGGTTTTGTGTATATTTTTACTTCTTCCAGGTTTTTGCCATTAGCTTTAAACGATATTGAAATAAAATACCGATGGATATAAAAATAATCATAAAAGCATTCTAAAACACCTACTCACTTTTATTTCTTTAACAAAGCTCATTTATTTTTTTACCATAATCTAAAGAGCTGAAAGTAATATCAGTGTTACGATCACAATATTCGTGAGTTTTTAATAAGGGTCTTACCGAATTAAAGCTTTTAATATTTATACATTTATGAAAATATACAAATGTAAACATTCACTTAAATTCCTTGGTAATACAAAGGATACGTATACAATGGACACTTCGTCTATAACTCCATAAAATACAGAATCATCAGGGACAATAATCTGTTCATTCACTACTATATTTGGCTAAATGTTTCGTTAACTTTTTGTTTGTTGGGTATTAAGATTTAAATGTATTTAGACATTACAATTTTGTTTTAGTACTTTATACAAATTTATTTTAGTTCGATTGTGTTGGAAGGTATAAGCTTATTGAATCACTCTTGAATCAACCGGTTCTGGGAAACAACAGCTTGCCCATGACAGGGTTTGAACCCACACTATCCTTAGATTACTAGTCCGACGCGTTTACCACTTTACCATGCCGCCAATGCGTTACAATGTGATGTTACTTTCAATTATATTTACTCAGATACAAATAAAAAGTCATAAACGTTTATGTTATCATGTTTGCAATGTCTAGTCGTGGTGTGAATACTTACATGAAAATCCGACTACTTTACAGACTGAGCTCTTTTTTATACTGTGTCGTCTGCTGGGCAGTGTTTCTCTGTTTGCAATCTTTTTTTCAAGTTCTATCAAGATGACCTTTTTATTCTTATCAAGTTTCTGCAGAAATGTTATGTATTTTTATATATATTGCATATTCAAATAAGATGAAATTGTAACTCATTATTCACAAAACGTTATACCGGTATCACTTATCTAGCTTAAAACTTGTATGAGAATTTAAAATCATACTTTTACTCAATATGTTTTTAATGTATATTAACTCTGTCAAATATATGTGCCATGATGTAGTTATCTTCGGGCCATTTTTTCTAGTTTTATATATAAAAAAAAATTTATAACTGAATTTTAAAAGGTCTGCGTGTGACTACAGGGGTTATTCAGGAATCCATTTTGCATGTTTATGATCATTATGATGTAAAATTGGATACATTGAGTACCAAAACTTTTTAACCTAGCTTTACATTTGAAAAAAAATATATGGACATATTTAATCCATTTACTATTAAAATGCATTTTATAGCATCGTGGAAGTTAATGATATACGTATAATAATTGTATTGCACTTTATTTACAATGATTTTTACATGTTTTGTTGTGCCATACGAAAATTAAATATCAGAATATAAGCATCTTATTAGACACATATTGTAAGAGGAACGTTATATTATCACAATATTAAATACTTATCTACCATAGTGTTCTGAATCTTTGTAGACGTAAAATTTCCGCGGTTTCCACTCTTGATTAGAACTCTTATATTTGACAATGGCCTGTAAGTACATTGAATAATTTTGAAAGTCATTTTAGAACTTTTTGTTCTATTTAAAAAAAAGCTTCGAATACATCCTTATTTGAATGATTAATAAATACAAATATAAATAATTAATGTGGCAAAGAAGGTTTTTGTACCATTAGTCAGTATATTACGTGAAAGGTAGATAAACAATTCAGTCCGAAACATTATTAAATGTTTATATTTACCCCTTTTTATATTTGTTTATATTATCATATAATTATACTTGAAAATTTCAAAAAATACTTCCAGCGTATTGAAAAAAAATGTCATTTTGTTTTAAGAAACTTTTACAGTGATACAGCGTACATTTCTAATAAATGGTTACCCTTCAACGCATGACGTCAATGTTATGGCAACATTGTAGTCTATAAGAACACATGAACAAACATGTTTTCCATCCTTCTCAATCTTCGCTACAAATGAAAACTTTTCTTGAATCGTTGTCATGCCATTCTTTATTTTCGTTTGTAACTTGTCAATAGAGGTGCATTCAACCAAACTGGTTACTGAAATAATGACAGATCTCATATTCAAATGTTAATTGATGTAGCCTAATCAACCATCGTTGTCATGACATCTACGTGAGATATTTCATTTACGTTTGCTTATCACTATTTATCTTGAATTTCATAAAGTTTCTTTTATTTGTAAGGTAAAGCACATAAAAGTCATTCACGATATGACATTTGCGCAACTTTAGCATTAGGAAACAAAACATTAAGTAATAAAATCTAATTGTGGTTAAAAAAACTATGTGATTTATTTGTATAGCACACCAGGCTATTTTGGTTAACATGACATATGGTACTGTAAACCGTCAAGAAAAATGTCCAAATCTCAAAATTAGCAGTTAAATAATCTATAAAACTATACATGTTTACTCAATGCCGTATATCACACTTAGAAAAAGCACTGAAATATTAAATTCATATTTAGATTTAACATCGCAATAAGTCGTGGTTTAATGATATTTCCGATCCTTAAAACTCGTTTAGCACGACATTACTGTTGTGCTTGTGGTAATTTAGTTCTTTCTATTCGGCTATTTGCTTGTTGGGTGGTTCCAGAATTCCTCACTTGAATATTGTTTAATCATCCTTAGGATATGTGGCCTGTTTTTTAAATTTGTCTTTTGACGTCTTATCTGTGATATGCAGGCTTCATAACCTCTGGTCCCCTTTCAAAATTCCATTTTATTTAGTTCCGCCCATTGTTTGCTCGTTTAGGGCACACGCATTTTTTTACTTGGGGACCATATGCCGCTTTTCATGGAATGGCACTTACTGTCACATTGAATGTTCCATGATAACCGCCATAGAACACATCAGCGGATGTTTCAAAATTCAAAATTCAGCGGATGTTTCCAAATTTAAAATTGTACCAATTCATTTTAAATGTTGATTTCTGCTTAAGACGGTGCTACGGGGCGTGGACGGTAGTTTGCACTTTACAGTACCGTCCATGAACAGGCTCAATCAAACCGAGCCTGCATTATTTTCAGTAATATTGTGTTTGACTTTCTTAAGGAATTCTTGCTTTCTCTATTTTATTTGCAATTTATACCAAATACAAAGTGTAATACACTAAAACAAAATCATGACTTAAGACAAAGAAGTTAATTCAGTTGCTTCATAAATAAACGCAAACAGAAATGCAGATGACATCTAAAAAGAAATAAATATCAAGATAGTAGAAAAGAATAAAATAGTATTTGAAAAGTGATTGAACTGCTTTGTGAAAACGAAAAAAGCAAGAACAACAAAAAATAACAAGAAAAGGGTACAAACATAGTATGAAGGATTGAATTAATTCATGATTAATGTCATTAGGAAAAAAAAAATAATAATAAGATAAAAAGGTACAATAATAATACTTACATGTTATTAGAAATATGAATAATCCGAACAGCATTATTCCATGTATTTCTTTACAAAAGGTTTTGAATTGATTATGTTATCAATATTTGTTTTTTCTATATTTTTAGAAAATAACTAATGACTAATAGCGGTAATTGAAATCTGATAAACTCAACTTGACCTTTATTGAAAATCATTTAAGCAAGTGCCTATGGCGTGAAATATCATAATTAGGTATACACGTTATTGTAAATTGTTAAAATACTAAGATACTCCTTTAGCATAATATGAATTTATGTTGTTCGAAATCGATTAAATATAACATAGAATTTTGGGAAGCATCGGTTGCTATTACATTTTACCATTGACAGTGTAACCAGTAGTCTTTGAAACCAACTGTGTTGGGTTTTTTTTGTTCTGGGAATTATTAAAATTGTAACATATCTTATTTCCCGTCACATTAACACAGTAAGATCCCTCCAGATTGGCTGGTGGATTAAGACCTTTTGTGCCTCTCCGATCATTATTTCAGGGCATAAGCGAGCGCCTTACATAGCAAACCCATCGAAGTTCCTTACGCCACTAGATAGAGTCCTTACATGAAGAAGTCTCTGGTGGAATTCGAACCTACAACGAAAAGGGCCAAGTATATCAAGAATTATTTTAAACCAACACAAATGATCTTATAATTGTGTACTCCATAGACAAAACGAGGCCCAACATAACGGACTACTAGTTATTAATATAAAAATCTGGAAACAAAGTGATCCCTTGGAAGCATTTATCACAACAAAATTACATAAGAATTGCAGGCTCGGTTTAAGTCTGTACATGAGGAATAATGTAAAGTGCAACATTCCTCACACTTAACTGTTTATTCATTCTTTGACTATGTATAATAAGCACTAGTTATTACATCGATAAATTATTGCTGGTGATTAAGACAGACATAGATGCCATAGTAAATATCAAAAATCAAGAAATGTAATTGAACCTCTTAACGTGCAGCCATACGTTATTTGTAGGATGTAAATACTATTTTGTATTCAATCTTACAATAAATTTAAGAAATATTATCGGCA